ATTTTTATGGCTTGCTGCTTTCTCTGAACGTTTCCATTCACAGGTGCAGTGGGAAGCGGTTTACATTTCCTTCGTAGAGTTACCGCTATAGTACAGTATAAAATTGTTATGGAAATCAACGAAGCAAAGGAGCTGGCGGCTACAGCATATTGAGAAATTGTAGTTGTTTTCTCTGTGCAGTCAAGTGCACCATTTTTGTGCACGACTTTAGAATCAATAGAAAATGTGGAACCGCAAAAAAGGGCAACGATCCATGAGGAAACAATGGCCAAAACGCGAAATCTGGAGGAAATCAGATGGACTTTCATTGGAAAGACTGCCGCTATAGACCGGTCCAATGCAATCCAAGTTAGGCTTTGTACAGAAACATAGACAGAGGCATACATAACAAAACTCTGGATCTTGCAGACAATTGATCCGGCCGGTTCAGCTATCGGCCATTGACCATACGCTGCTTTTGCCAACTCAACTGGAATGAATGTTAACTGAAAGACAAAGTCAGAAAATGCCGTGTTGGCGATAAGCTGATTTATGGTCTTTCTTAAGTCTTTTCGCTTGTACACCAAGGTGATGATAAGGGCGTTTCCAGTCAAGCCAACCAAAACACCATACAGTAGACAACTATCAAACTTATGGCTCATATAATGCTCGACAATCCAAATCCTTTTCGCTTGATGAGACGTTGCTGAAGTTTCTGGTCAACATAATATAAGAAAATAAGAACCACCGATGCAATGCACATCTCTAGCAAAAAGGAGAGCGAATTGACCCAAGAGGATGCCGCAAACTAAATCGACAGCGGGAGCATTTGAAACATCGAGCCTGATTTCAAGTGAATCCAAACAACCGACTAAATACTTGACCTTGTGCAACTTGAATTCGCCACTTAGGACTGAAGCGAGAAGGGAACTGAAGCCGAAGTGCGGAATAGGCAAGTGATGTAGACTCTTCCGCAGAGTTTTGCAGCCACTAACTGCAGCGTTTCTCTAAACTTGATGAAGTTTACACTTACATATTACACCAATTGTTTTTACGTCTATTTTGATAATCATCGGCAATGTCTCGTCGCCTTAGAATAAAGTTAGTTGAAATGCCGCCGGCTGCTCCCCGCCAATAGTTTAAGCGCAACCTAACTGCGCACGTAGCCAGGTCGCGTCACCGAGATCAAACGTCTGGGGCATTTTCTTGAGTGCGTCCTTAGTGCGGTTCCATTTGCCAACTGAGGTAGAAAGGCGAACAATGCTGGACGCCCGATCAACATGGCGAAAAAGAAAAAGTGAATACAGACATTTTTGGCCATTTTCTTTCAGTTTGCCAGACCGACATCTAGACCACTTGAATGGCAATTTCTCATCGACAACAATAGATTATCGGCAAAACTTTATGCTTCGAAATGGTGCGATATTTTTTCTTTGAAGTATAAATCTAAAGAAATTCATGAATAATTCAAAACCAAATATAATACGATAGAGATTGATGTTGAATAAGTGGATATAGATGTTTAATATAAAAACGCTCGAGTTTTAACTCTTTCGGCAAAAATAATTGATCATCACGCCGTTATATAAAATTTTGAAATTATTATTATAATTATAACAAATAAGTTTATCTAGAAGAACGTTAAGCTGATCTCTTACATCAATTCCCTTTTAGGGCTTCGTATGCAGAGTTAGTTCACCTATCCTGATTTACCGTCACATTTGCTCTATAATTCGTTTTACAATATAATAGGATAGCAAGGACAGCAGACGTTCTATAATAGGACAGCAAGGGAATCTTAGGGCGTGGCCGGGATATGTTAGTTTCACTAAAGTTATTTTTAGAGGTTGTAATTAAACGGAAGTCTTATTCCTGGGACGTCCGCTCATGTTAATCGAATTGTTTGAAACGACATCAAGTTTACGCGCGACTGCCTCAAAGCAAACAAGGCAGAATGTTGTAACGGCAACTGTTGAATATTGAACATGACCTTTTCGAGTCAGATTTACAGGCGTCTAGATTTCGGCATCAATATTTAGATGAGCCTGATGAGCACATTTCAGTTCAAGAAATTGATGTTAGCGAACTAATCCAGCGTTCCTACTCGCAAGAGTAGGATAAGCGATAATTTGTCTGAATTAAAATGGACTCAAATTCTGTTTCCCTCGTGAGAAAGCCGTGAGAAGAAGTCCACTTAATTATGAAAAGAAACAGACGAAAGTCAAAGAATTAACTAAAATGCTTAAAATGATGCTGCTTGTTCCAATAGGTTTTTTCTTTCTGGCGGGTAGATTATGCTCTGGAGGGTTCTAAGTTTTGATTTAACAAATGTGATTTTTGCCACTTGTTTCACACTGAGAGATCATGACTCGCATATTGATTTTCTGTGGGTTTTGTTTCTGGTCGGCAGGATTGGCCCTCTGATCCAAACTTAACGCTCTTTGTTGCGGCTAAATAAGGGTTTTAGGTTGTTAATTTTCTCCAAAGTGTCTCCTGGAACTGAATAACTAAAAGCGATTTTCTTTTTACCGCGAATGTGATGGTTTCGCGCAATGTTTTGGCACGGTGGGCCCACAACGTCGAATGTCAAATGAACTTTATGGGTTTTGTTTGCGTCGTCTGCCACTGAAGAAACAAGTTTTAGATACAATGTTCTGAGCGTCGAGTATTGCTTCGATTAGCCATTAGCTTTCGATTGGTTTTCAAATTTTTCATGACTTATTTTTAGAGCTGTTCTGGTACGACACATGACACATGGGACAAAATTTACTTTCTAGTCCTTTTTTTGTTAGCACCTCTGCTGCTTTCCTGTTTTGATTTCTACTGTGATTTGATTGCATTTTAGCGTTTTCGTTCGAATTGCGCGTCGAAGTGGTCTCACTGGAATTGACGTTTGGCTGCTTTGATTGTTTTGTGCGATGATTGTTCCCACTCCTCTGTTTGCCTTTTGTTGTTGTTTATTTCTTCCTGCGAAGGTTCCGAAATTGAAATTTCCTGATTAGGATCGCTGTCCGCGGACTTCAATTCCTCCAAGAGCCATAATAGGACAGAGACGGAAACGCCTAGTCTAGCCCTTGGGATATGTGAATTTCACCAAAGTTATTTTTTGACCAATCAAACGCTTGAATCAATCGGAAATTGGTTTCCCGAGAGGTCCGCAAACTTTCATTCAGTGCTGTGAAGAAATAATGGCGTCCTGCGTGGAGGTGCGTTTCATCGACCAAAGTGATTTTGTAAAACAAAAGGAAATGGTTTTCTCTTGAAAGGTTCTCCCGATTGGGAGCTAGATTCCACGATTTCGTTGGAAATGACTGATTTGCTAGATGATATATTAGTTTATTAGAAGGAATCAGGAGCCATATGGTTCTTGGTTTTACATACGATAACAAAGCAAACCATATAAAAGCACAAATAAATCATAAACCAAAATCACGACATCCGGAGAAACAAAAAAAACGGAAAAGGGCCTTTTATGATAAGCCAGTTTGCCCAAGGTTAGTGCTTAAGGCAATCTAAAAAAAGAACTTCGATACTGTGGATATTAAAGACATTTAAGTCAGAAGTCTTGCAGAGACCCACAAAAGAAATTGAAAACAATGCGCTCGCAAAATGTTGGAGGAAAAACACTGTGGCTATTATGGAAATGCAAAAATGGCGAATGGTGTTAAGTTCTAAAATAAATGAGTGTTTTTCTACACTTACTTCTCTCTATGTGGTTCCGTTTACGTACAAATTGTATTTTACACAGGTTATATTTACTATACATAGCTTCCAGATAGATGAACACTAAGGCTAAACTTCTGTTGATTAAACTAAGGCTAAACGTCATTATTGTTCATAATTTTGCCATTTTTTTATTATTATTAAAGTTTGTCTCCTATCGAATGCACGAATAATTCAAAACCGTTCAAGTCTTATCTCCTTTTGATTGCTCTTTCTTCTCTCTTCCACTTTCAGATTTTTGCTGTAATAGCATGGGAGGATCTCGGTTAGGCCCGACGAAAGCTTTGAACAAATGCAATGCAAATGATCGGATTGACAGTTGAAGACGTGTAAAGAGCCAACTGAACAAGTAACCAGATGCTTTGGAGCACAGAACAAGATTTGAAAACTTTTTGATCAGGTAATAAGTTGGCCACTATTGTCAAAGGAAGAATGAGAAAGTAAAAAGATAGCATCACACAAACACTCATTTTTATAGAATGGCGTTTTCTTTGATTGCTTTGATGTCCGCACTGAAGAGCTCTATCTTGTTCTCGCAAAAGTTATTGCTATAGTACAATAAGAAATCACTATGATAATCAGACGTACGGCGAAAAGAAAAGTAGTGCGTCTTCTTCCAAAGTTTACGTAAAAGGTGGAAGTATTTTTATAGGCGCAAAAAGGTATGTCATGGTACACTTTGTTTTTCAGCCCCTTTGATATTTTAGGCGGATTTTAACGTCTCCCACTCCTAGGAGTGAAAGAAACAATAGTTGAGATCTATGGTGACGAATAACTTGAAAGTTAGGTATGCTTCGTAAATTCGGCGCCAACAAGGCTAAGTGAGAAAAAAGGTGATAACTGCCATCGAGTTCAATACAGTACATTAATATGAACAACACTTTATTAATAGACGTATCAAGTAGCCCAAGCCAGGCTCTTTGATCGTAAGGACCTCGCGAAGACAAAGTCAAGGGAAAGTAGGACGCCCGTGATCTAACGTTTTCATATCAGTTTTGGTCACAGGTCGTTTCGTCTACGAATCTTTCCGCTACCGTCCCGTTCCCGAAACGAGCGCTGCGCATGTATTTACCTTGTTCATTCAGCCACTGATCAGACGAAAGCAGTTTGAGAACCGACCCAAAACGTGCGCGAAACGACTTTTAAGTCGTTAGCGAGCAGGGCGTTAGCGACGTAGACGACCGTACAGTTATCACAATCTCTGCGCATTACTTTCTTGGAGCCTGCAACAGGCTAACTAACAAGGAACTACTCTAGGGAAAAGCCTTTTATTTAGAAAAAAAACATTAAATGTTAAATTAATTACTATTAGAGTTTTGCAGGACCCTTATACTCTGAAGAGTTATTCCTTTTGGACCATAGTCAATGTTTTGTCTTCTCTTCGAGCATTTGATAAGAAACGAACCACAAAATTCTCTCAGGCCACGCCGGTAGTTTTCGACAAAGACGAAACAGATTATTGGATTTGCGGTGCTTGAAAGGTTGATCATCAGGTCAGGTAATGACCTTAGTACTCGGAATAACAAACATGATCTTTCCAGTACTTTTTCTGAAAACAAGACAATAATAATGACAGGGATAAAACATAAATAAAAGGCTGCCACGACGCAAATGGACATTTTTATGGCTTGCCGTTTTCTTTGAATGTTTCCATTCACAGCTGAAGTGGGGAGTGCTTTATTTTTCCTTCGTAGAGTTACCGCTATAGTACAGTATAAAATTGTTATGGAAATCAACGAAGCAAAGGAACAGGCGGCTCCGACATATTGAGAAATTGGATTTGTTTCCTCTGTGCAGTCAAGTGCACCATTTTTGTGCACGACGTCTGAATAAATACAAGATGCGGCGCCGCACAAAAGGGCAACGATCCACGAGGAAGCAATGGCCAAAACGCGAAATCTGGAGGAAATGAGATGGACTTTCATTGGAAAGACTACCGCTATAAACCGGTCCAATGCAATCCAAGTTAGGCTTTGTACAGAAACATAGATAGAGACATAAATAACAAATCTCTGGATCTTGCAGACAATTGATCCGGCCGGTTCAGCGACCGGCCATTGACCATACGCTGCTTTTGCCAGCTCAACTGGAATGAATGTTAACTGAAAGACAAAGTCAGATAATGCCATGTTGGCGATAAGCTGATTTATAGTCTTTCTTAAGTCTTTCCGCTTGTACACCAAGGTGATTATAAGGGCGTTTCCAGTCAAGCCAACCAACAAGACCATACTGTAGACAACTATCAAACTTACTTTGAACACATATGGCTCATATAATAGTCCACAATCCAGATCCTTTTCGCTTGATGAGACGTTGCTCAAGTTGTTGGTCGACATAATATATATAAGAAAAAAAGAAACACCTATTGAATGCACGTCTTAAGCAGAAAGGAGAGTGAACTGACCCGAGAACGGCTGCCGCAAACTAAATTGACAGTGGAAGCAATTAAAACATCGAGACGGATGATTTCAAATGAATGCGAACAACCGACTAAATACTTGAATTACTTGTCGTGACGGTAATGGATTTTCTTAACTTTTCGTTTTTGATTTCGAACGTTAATCGATTTGTATTAATCTCGAATTGTGTTGTCTCACTAGGCTCAGAGTCAAAGGGATCTGGAAAACAAATAACTATTCCACCTGTTTTAACAGAAGTTTCAATAGAGATCTTTTCAAGATTTTTCAGGTAATCGAACTATTGAATATGGGAACCATAAATAGTAAAAAATATGTTTGCGTTAGACAACATGTAAAAAATATATGTAATTAAGAAATAGACCAGGCAATGGAATTAAATATAAAACTTTAGCATTTAATTTTCTTTGCCTTTCAACATTAAAATATTTATAATTTAGAATTAGACAAAGGAGTTTAATATTAAATTTTTATATCTAATTTTCTATGCCTTTCAATCGATTCACATTTTGTGCCTTGTGAAAACTTGATGTTGACCAGCGGCCTCTTTGATATTTTAGGCGTATTTTAACGTCTCCCACTCCTAGGAGTGAACGAAACAATAGCTGAGATCTATGATGACGAATAAGTTAAAAGTTAGGAATGCTTCGTAAATTTGGGGCCAACAAGGTTAAGTCAGAAAAAAGGTAATAACTACCATCGAGTTCAGAAGAGTTCAATACAGTACATTAATATGAACAACAGTTTATTAATAGTCGTATCAAGTAGCCCAAGCCAGGCTCTTAGATCGTAGGGACGTCGAGAAGACAAGGTCAAGGGAAAGTAGGACGCCCGCGATCTAACGTTTTCATATCATTTTTTCATCAGTCGTGTCGCCTACGAATAGTTTCGCTACCGTTCCGTTCGCTGACGTCTTATGTCGCTCCGCTTAAGAACCGAAACGAGCGCTGCGCATGTACTTCGATCTCTCAGCCACACGATAAGAAGAAGTGCGACCTGCATGTATTTACCTCGTTCATTTAGCCACTGATTAGAAGAAAGCAGTTTGAGAACTGACCCAACACGTACGCGAAACGACTTTTGAGTCGTTAGCAAAGAGGGCGTTGGCGACGTAAGCGACCGTACAGTTATTACAATCTCTGCACATTATTTTCTTGGAGCCTGCCACAGGGTAACCAACCAGGAGCTAAGAAAAACAGTTTTTAGTTAGAAAATAAAATAAATAATAAATTAATCACTATTAGGGTTTTGTAGGACCCTCATACTCTGAAGAGTTATTCCTTTTGCACCAGAGTCAATGTTTTGTCTTCTCCTCGAGCATTTGATAAGAAACGAACCACAAAATTCTCTCAGGCCACGCCGGTAGTTTTCGACAAAGACGAAACAGATTATTGGATTTGCCGTGCTTGAAAGGTTGATCATCAGGCCAGGAAATGACCTTAGTACTCTGAGTAGCAAACATGAAATTTCCAGTGCTCTTTCTGACAACAAGACAATAATAATGAGAGGGACAAAACATAAATAAAAGGCTGCCACGACGCAAATGGACATTTTCATGGCTTGCCGTTTTCTCTGAACGTTTCCATTCACAGCGGAAGTGGGGAGAGCTTTATTTTTCCTTCGTAGAGTTACCGCTATAGTACAGTATAAAATTGTTATGGAAATCAACGAAGCAAAGGAACAGGCGGCTCCGACATATTGAGAAATTGGAGTTGTTTTCTCTGTGCAGTCAAGTGCACCATTTTTGTGCACGAGTTTAGAATCAATAGAAGATGCGGACCCGCACAACACGGCAACGATCCACATGGAAGCAATGGCCAAAACGCGAAATCTGGAGGAAATCAGATAGACTTTCATTGGAAAGACTACCGCTATAAACCGGTCTAAAGCAATCCAAGTTAGGCTTTGTATAGAAACACAAACAGAGGCATAAACAACAAAAGTCTGGATCTTGCAGACGATTGATCCAGCCGGTTCAGCGATCGGCCATTGACCATACCCTGCTTTTGCCAACTCAACTGGAATGAATGTTAACTGAAAGACAAAGTCAGAAAATGCCATGTTGGCGATAAGCTGATTTATAGTCTTTCTTAAGTCTTTCCGCTTGTACACCAAGGTGATTATAAGGGCGTTTCCAGTCAAGCCAACCAACAAGACCATACAGTAGACAACTATCAAACTTATTTTAAACACATATGGCTCATATAATACTCGACAATCCAAATCCTTTTCGCTTGATGAGAGGTTGCTCAAGTTGCTGGTCGACATAATATCAGAAAAAAAGAAACACCGATTTAATGTACGTCTCAAGCAGTAAGGAGAGTGAACTCATCCAAGAAGATGGCGCAAACTAAATAGACAGCGGAAGCAATTAAAACATCGAGACTGATGATTTTAAATTAATCCAAGCAAGTGACTAAAGGCTTGAATTAATTGTCGTGACGGTTGGATTTTCTTAACTTTTCGTTTTTGATCTCGAACGGGAAACGATTTTTATTAATCTCGAATTGTGGTGTCTCACTAGGCTCAGAGTCAAAAGGATCTAGAAAACAAATAATTGTTCCACCTGTTTAAACAGAAGTTTCAATAGAGATCTTTTCAAGATTTTTGAGATAATCGAACTATTAAATATGGGAACCATAAATAGTAAAAAATATATTTGCGTTAGACACCATGTTAAAAATAGAGATAATTTAGAAATAGACCGGGCAATGGAATTAAATATAAAACTTTAGTATTTCCTTTTCTTTGCCTTTCAACATTAAAATATTTATGATTTAGAATTAGACAAAGTAGTTTAATATTAAATTTTTATATCTAATTTTCTATGCCTTTCAATCGACTCACATTTTGGGCCTTATGAAAACTTGATGTTGATCAGCAATGAAGTGTAAACATATTTGAAAAGAACTCTTTAAATAATAATAAAAAAGAATTTCATGTTTTATTTTAATATTTAACTTTTATAGTGTTCAATAAACTTGCAGTCTGAAATGTAGGCTCGATAATGATCAAAGACCGGACCCGGGAGACGGCAGAAATCGAGCCTGTCTGAAATGCAGTTCGTGTTTCAAACATTCATAAATTCAAAGACCTGAGTAATACTCCTGCTTGTGATTAAAAGTTAAGATCATGTGAGGCCTGTTGTATGCTGTACTGTCACACTGGATCGTATACTTCACCCCGTGGAAAAAAAAACAAAAACAAACTGTAAATTGAAAAATTAATGGCACGAAAATCATTAAAACCAGTTCGCAGAACAAGGGCAAGAAACACTAGCTAGCCTATTACAGAAACTAAACTAAATTTTATCTATTTTGTCATCGTCATTTTCGCAAACGAGTGCACTTTCACTTATTAACAATGATTTAATTTCAATAGGGTCGCTGGGCTGGCAGGGCGTAACGTTTTACGGGAAAAAGATTGTTGTATACAAGTGTGAGCATCTGACTTTTAAAATTAAACACCAGACGCCAGATTTAAAAGTTCCAACGATAAGACGCATCTTTTGTATTGTTCCGTTACAATCGCCTGTTGTTTTCAACCCTTTTAGTCTCAGAGTGATTGATGAAATCTTTGTAAGGTGCCTCTAACTTTGAGTCTGTGGACGAAATCCTATAGTTAGCTATCCAATGAAACCTCTTCGCCGTTAATTTTTTGTCTAGGAACAATTTGTTTTTCAGCATCTTTGATATTTTAGTCGGATTTTGTCTTTTCCCACTCCTGGGACTGAAGGAAACAATAGTTGAGATCTATGGTGCCGAATTTACGAAACATTCCTAACTTAAAAGTTAGGAGTGCTTCATAAATTCGGGGCCATAGCATCTAAATAATCTTAACACTTGGTTAAGTCAGATAACTACCATCAAGTACAATACGGTACATTTACATGAACAATACTTTATAAATACTTTATTAATAGACGTATCAAGTAGCCTAAGCCAGGCTCTCAGATCGTAGTGACGTCGCTAAGGAAAGTTCAAAGGAAAATAGGGCGCCAGTGATTTGGCTTTTTTCATGTCAGTTTTGCTGACCGGTCGTTTCGCCGAAGTCTTATGTCGCTTCACTTAAGAGGCGAAGCGAGCGGTGCGCATGTATATAGCTCGTTCTCTTAGGAATGATAAGAAAAGGTGCGATACGCACGTATATGCTTCGTCCTTTCGGCTACTGATCTGGCGAAAGCAGATAGCAAACTCATCTAATACGTAAGCGAAACGACACTTAAGTCATTAGGGAACAGGGCGTTGGCAACGTACATGACCGTACAGTTTTCACGATGTCTACACATTACTTTCTTGGAGCCTTTATGCAACAGGCTAGTCAATACTGAGGAGCTTCGGAAAAGGCTTTTTATTTCAAAAAATAAAATAAATGTGAAATTAATTACTATAAGAGTTTTGTAGGACCCTTCTAACCCTCTGAAGAGTTATTCGTTTTGGACTATTGTCAATGTTTTGTCTTCTCTTCGAGCATTTAATAAGAAACGAACCACAAAATTCTCTCAGGCCACGCCGGTAGTTTTCGACAAAGATGAAACAGATTATTGGATTTGCTGAGCTTGATAGGTTGATCGTCAAGCCGGTAAATGGCCATAGTACTCTGAGTAACAAACATGATCTTTTCAGTACTTTTCCTGACAACAAGGCAATAATAATGACAGGGATAAAACATAAATAAAAGGCTGCCACGACGCAAATAGACATTTTCACGGCTTGCCGTTTTCTCTGAACGTTTCCATTCACAACTGAAGTCGGAAGCGCTTTATTTTTCCTTCGTAGAGTTACCGCTATAGTACAGTATAAAATTGTTATGGAAATCAACGAAGCAAAGGAACCGGCGGCTCCAGCATATTGAGAAATTGCAGTTGTTTTCTCTGTACATTCAAGTGCACCATTTTTGTGCACGACTTTAGAATCAAAAGAAGATGCGGAGCCGCACAAAAGGGCAACGATCCATGTGGAAGCAATGGCCAAAACGCGAAATCTGGAGGAAATGAGATGGACTTTCATTGGAAAGACTACCGCTATAAACCGGTCTAATGCAATCCAAGTTAGGCTTTGTACAGAAACATAGACTGAGACATGAACAACAAAACTCTGGATCTTGCAGACGATTGATCCGGCTGGTTCAGCGATCGGCCATTGACCATACGCTGCTTTTGCCAACTCAACTGGAATGGATGTCAACTGAAAGACAAAGTCAGAAAATGCCATGTTGGCGATAAGCTGATTTATCGTCTTTCTTAAGTCTTTCCGCTTGTACACCAAAGTGATTACAAGGGCGTTTCCAGTCAAGCCAACCAACAAGACCATACAGTAGACAACTATCAAACTTATTTTGAACACATATGGCTCATATAATGCTCCACAATCCAAATCCTTTTCGCTTGATGAGAAGTTGCTCAAGTTGCTGGTCGACATAATTTACGAAAACAAGAACCACCGATGCAATGCACGTCTCTAGCAGAAAGAAGCGAAGAAGATGTCGCAAACTAAATCGACAGCGGGAGCATTTGGAACATGGAGACTGATTTCAGGTGAATCCAAGCAATCGACTAAATTAATACTGAAGCGAGATGGGAACTGAAGCCGAAGTGCAGAATAGGCAAATGATGTAGACTGACTTTCGCAGAGACTTTTGTAGCCACTAAACGCAGCGTTTCTCTGAACTTGATGAAATTTATATTTACATTTTACACCAATTGTTTTTACTTCTATTTGATAATCATCGGCACTGTCTCGTCGCCTAAGAATTGCAGTGAGTTGTAATGCAACTGGCTCCTCCCCGCCAATAGTTTATGCGCACCCTAACTGCGCACGTAGCTAGGACGCGTCACCAAGATCAAACGTCTGGGGCATTTTCTTGAGTGCGTCCTTAGTGCGGTTCCATTTGCCAACTGAGGTAGACAGGCGAACAATGCTGGACGCCCGATCAACATGGCGAAAAAGAAGAAGTGAATAAAGACATTTTTGGCCAATTTCTTTCAGTTTGCCACACCGAGATCTAGACCACTTGAATGGCGATTTCACATCGACAACAACAGATAGTCGGCAAAACTTTATGCTTCGAACTGGTGAGATATTTTTTCTTTGTAGTATAAATCTAAAAACATTCATGAATAATTCAAAACCAAATATATTACGATAGAGATTGATGTTGAATAAGTGGATATACATATTTAATATAAACACGCCCGAGTTTTAGTTCTGTCGGCAAAAATAATTGATCATCACGCCTTTATATAAATTTTCAAATTATTATTATAAAAAAATAACTTTATCTAGAAGAACGTTAAGCTGATCTCTTACATCAATTCTCTTTCTGAGCTTCGTACGCAGAGTTAGTTCGCCTATCCTGATTTACTGTCACATTTACTCTATAATTCGTTTTACATACAATAACAAACAAAACCATATAAAAGAACAAATAAATCATACACCAAACTCACGACATGCGGAGGAAAAAAAAAACGGAAAAGAACCTTTTATTTGCCCAAGGTTAGTGCTAAAGGCAATCTAATAAAAAACTTCAATACTGTAGATATTAAAGACATTTAAAAAAGACAGGTCAAAAATGTTTAATTCTGTCTCTTGTGACCCGAGATGTTGGTGGATTTTGAATCGAAGTTGGAAGGTCCCGATGAATTCGTTGCAGAAAGCATGCCCTTGCCTGCTTATTTTGCAGTAAAAAAAGTACGTTTTTGGTTAGATCACAAGAAAAAATACGTAGAATAGAAACCTTTGTTCAAGTGACACACCAGCCCTGACTCCACACTTTTTCCGTGTTATGTCAAGAGTTAACGCCGCGATAAAAGCCTGTCCTTTTCCGAGACTCTTGTGTAATAGATAATTAAACACGGGACTACATGCTAACACTATCACAACAGGTGAACAAAGTAGAGTTTTTCAAAGTGGACACAAGATTGACTTACAAAGGATCTGCAAGGACAATGCCTCATTATTAAGTCAAGATCTGAATTTGATTGAACACCATAGGGAAAACACGGAAGAATTAAAATAAAGCTATCGTTTGCATCTGCCAACAATAAGAACAGAAGTAAGGACAGAAGTAGCCAGGAGAATTTTTTATCATGAAAGTACTGTTTTTAATAATTTTTGTTATAGTACATATCGGAGAGTTTGTTTATTATTTATTTATTAAACTTTAGTATTTCATTTTTATGCCTTTCAACATTAAAATATTTAGAATTTAGTGTTAGACAAAGGTGTTTAATATTAATTTTTTATATTTAATTTTCTATGTCTTTCAATAACTCAAGGCTTGTGCCTTATGACTGAGCTTGTAAGGTACACAAAGTTACCTAATAAGGTACACAACATATTTGAAAAGAACTTATAAAATAAATAAAAAGAGAATTTCATGTTTAACTTTAATATTTTTAAATATTAAAAATTAAAATTTTTATGCTGTTCCATAATCTTGCAGTCTGAAATGCGGTTCGTGTTTCAAACATTCACCAATTCAAAACCCTAACAAACACTCCTGCTCGTGATTGATGACTAACGTAGCTCGTGTGTAGCCTGCTGTATGCTGTACTGTCATACTGGATCATATAGTTCACCCCGTGGAAAAAACAAACTATGAATTGAAAAATTAATGGCATACGGAAATCACTACATCGAAGAAAACGTCGATGATTGAGCTCAGTTTGCATGACAAAGGCAAGAATGACTATTACAGAAACTTAACGAAATTTTCTCTATTTTGTCACTGTCATTATTGCAAACGAATGCACTTTCAGTTATTAAAAATAATGTGATTTGAATAGGGAAATAACTGTTCGAAGGTGCAAATATTGCCTAGAAATTTCTAAAGCTTGAGAAAAGCTACAAATTTCTGGATAACCGTTCCATTCGTCTAAAATACGGGATTTTTTCTAATAGCTTAACTACGATTTTCGGAGGTTGTATTATTCGCATGTTAATACCAAGATATTGCGAAAAGGTCTCCTAAAACNCCTGCTCGTGATTGATGACTAACGTAGCTCGTGTGTAGCCTGCTGTATGCTGTACTGTCATACTGGATCATATAGTTCACCCCGTGGAAAAAACAAACTATGAATTGAAAAATTAATGGCATACGGAAATCACTACATCGAAGAAAACGTCGATGATTGAGCTCAGTTTGCATGACAAAGGCAAGAATGACTATTACAGAAACTTAACGAAATTTTCTCTATTTTGTCACTGTCATTATTGCAAACGAATGCACTTTCAGTTATTAAAAATAATGTGATTTGAATAGGGAAATAACTGTTCGAAGGTGCAAATATTGCCTAGAAATTTCTAAAGCTTGAGAAAAGCTACAAATTTCTGGATAACCGTTCCATTCGTCTAAAATACGGGATTTTTTCTAATAGCTTAACTACGATTTTCGGAGGTTGTATTATTCGCATGTTAATACCAAGATATTGCGAAAAGGTCTCCTAAAACGTTCGGTTTAGCGACAAAATGTCCCCTATAATTTTGTAATGAAAGCAAGCCTGCTTCATGTCCTCGGACTTTCGACCACACCCATAAGGATAGCTAGCACTTTTGGATGAGACGAAAAAGCAACCTAAAACTTTCGTGAAGTCCAAAGTTCCCCTAAGACATCCGAACAGACAAATAGTTTTTAGGACAGCTCCAAATTAACCGAACAGGCTTCTATAAAGCATAGTGAAAACCATCTAAGACACTTCTGGCGTATTTGCAAACATTCGGCCGTTTGGTGCCCCTGTTTGCAATTGTCTCTTTAATTAAACACCAGCAGCAAGATCTATGAGTTCTTACGGTAAGTCGCATCATATCAGTTGTTCCTTTAGAATGAATCGCCCGTTGTTTAACCCTTTCAACCTCAGAGTAAATAATGGTATGAGTCTTTGTAAGGTGGCTCTAAATTCTGAGTCTGTGGACGCAATTCAATCGTGAGCTTTCCAACGAAACCTCTTCGTCGTCAATTTTATGTCATGGTACACTTTGTTTTTCAGCCTCTTTGATATTTTAGGCGGATTTCAACGTCTCCCACTTCTAGGAGTGAAAGAAACAATAGTTGAGATCTATGGTGCCGAATAACTTAAAAGTTAGGGATGCTTCGTAAATTCGGGGCCAACAAGGCTAAGTCAGTAAAAATGTAATAACTGCCATTGAGTACTATTATAATACAGTATATTCATATGAACAACACTTTATTAATAGACGTATCAAGTAGTCCAAGCCAGGCTCTTAGATCGTAGGGGCATCGCGAAGACAAGGTCAAGGGAAAGTAGGACGCCCCGTGATCTAACGTTTTCATACCAGTTTTGGTTACCGGTCGTTTCGCCTACAAATCGTTTCGCTACCGCCCGTTCGCTAACGTCTTATGTCGCTCGTTAGCGAACACGGCGTTGGCGACGTAAACGACCGTACAGTTATCACAATCTCTGCATATTACTTTCTTGGAGCCTGCAACAGGCTAACCAACAAGGAGCTAAGGAAAAAGCCTTTTATTTAGAAAAAAAAATGTTAAATTAATTAGAGTATAAGGGACCTACAAAACTCTAATAGTGAAGAGTTATTCCTTTTGGACCACTGTCAATGTTTTGTTTTCTCTTCGAGCATTTAATAAGAAACGAACCACAAAATTCTCTTAGGCCACGCCGGTAGTTTTCGACAAAGATGAAACAGATTAATGGATTTGCCGTGCTTGAAAGGTTGATCATCAGGCCAGGTAGGGGTCTTAGTACTCTGAGTAACAAACATGATCTTTCCAGTGCCTTTCCTGACAGAAAGACAATAATGACAGGGATAAAACATAAATAAAAGGCTGCCACGACGCAAATGGACATTTTCATGGCTTGCCGCTTTCTCTGAACGTTTCCATTCACAGGTGCAGTGGGAAGCGCTTCATTTTTCCTTCGTAGAGTTACCGCTATAGTACAGTACAAAACTGTTATGGAAATCAGCGAACCAAAGGAACCGGCGGCTACAGCATATTGAGAAATTGTAGTTGTTTTCACTGTGCACTCAAGTGCACCATTTTTGTGCACGACTTTAGAATCAATAGAAAATACGGAGCCGCACAAAACGGCAACGATCCATGAGGAAGCAATGGCCAAAACGCGAAATCTGGAGGAAATCAGATGGACTTTCATTGGAAAGACTACCGCTATAAACCGGTCTAACGCAATCCAAGTTAGGCTTTGAACAGAAACATAGACAGAGGTAGAAATAACAAAGCTCTGCATCTTGCAGACGATTGATCCGGCCAGTTCAGGGATCGGCCATTGACCATACGCTGCTTTCGCCAACTCAACTGGAATGAATGTTAACTGAAAGACAAAGTCAGAAAATGCCATGTTGGCGATAAGCTGATTTATAGTCTTTCTTAAGTCTTTCCGCTTGTACACCAAGGTGATTATAAGGGCGTTTCCAGTCAAGCCAACCAACAAGACCATACAGTAGACAACGATCAAACTTATTTTAAACNACAAAGTCAGAAAATGCCATGTTGGCGATAAGCTGATTTATAGTCTTTCTTAAGTCTTTCCGCTTGTACACCAAGGTGATTATAAGGGCGTTTCCAGTCAAGCCAACCAACAAGACCATACAGTAGACAACGATCAAACTTATTTTAAACACATACGGCTCATAAAATCCTCCACAATCCAAATCCTTTTCGCTTGATGAGACGGTGCTCAAGTTGCTGCTCGACATGATATATAAAAAAAAAGAACCACCTATTTAATGCACGTCTCTAGCAGAAAGGAGAGTGAACTGACCCAAGAAGATGCCGCCAACTAAATCGACAGCGCCGGGAAGCATTTGAAACATGAAGACTGATTTCAAGTGAATCCAAGCAATCGACTAAATACTTGACCCAGTACAACCTGAATTCGCCACTTAAGACTGAAGCGAGAAGGGAACTGGAGCCGAAGTGCGGAAAAGGCAAATGATGTAGACTCTTCCGCAGAGTCTTACAGCCACTAACCGCAGCGTTTCTCTAAACTTGATGAAATTTACATTTACATATTACACCAATTGTTTTTACTTCTATTTTGATAATCATCGGCACTGTCTCGTCGCCTAAGAATTGCAGTGAGTTGCAAGGCAACTGGCTCCTCCCCGCGAATGGTTTATGTGCATCCGTTTATGCGATAAAAGCCTGTCATTTTCCGAGACTATTGCGTAATAGATAATTATTCCCGGGACTACATGCTAACACTATCACTAAGGTGAACAAAGTACAGTTATTTAAAGTGGACACAAGATTGACTTACAAAAGAACCTGGAAGGACAATGCCTTATTATTAAAGTCAAGATCTGAATTTAATTAAACATCATAGGGAAAACACGGAAGAATTAAAACAAAGCTATCGATTGCATCTGCCAACAGTGAGAACAGAAGTCGGGACAGAAGTAGCCAGGAGAATTTTTTATCATGAAAGTACTGACAGTTTTTAATAATTTTTGTCATGGTACATAACGGAGAGTTTGTTTATTGTTTATTTATTAAACTTTAGTATTTCATTTTCTACGCTTTTCAACATTAATTTAGAATTAGACAAAGGTGTTTAATATTAAATTTTTAAATTTAATTTTCTATGTCTTTCAATAACTCAAGGCTTGTGCCTTATGACTGAGCTTGTAAGGAACACAAAACCTAATAAGGTGCACAACATATTTGAAAAGAACTTATAAAATAAATAAAAAGAGAATTTCATGTTTAACTTTAATATTTAATTTTTATGCTGTTCCATAAACTTGCAGTTTGAAATGCGGTTCGTGTTTCAAACATTCACCAATTCAATAACCTGACAAACACTCCTAGTCGTAATTGATTACTCAGGTAGCTCGTGTGTAGCCTGCGGTATGCTGTACTGTCATACTGGATTATGTATAGTTCACCCCGTGGAAAAAACAAACTGCGAATTGAAAAATTGATAGTATACGGAAAAGACTACAAGAAAGGAAACGTCTATGACTGAGCTCAGTTTGCATGAAAAAGGCGAGAAAGACTATTACAGAAACTAATTAAAACTAAATTTTGCCTATTTTGTCATCGTCATTGTTGTAAACGAATGCACTTTCACTTATTAAAAATGATTTCACTGGCAGGACAACGTTTTATGAGAAAACGATCGCTATTTACACAGGGGTACCCAGCGACTTTTTTCTGAAAATAACTGTTCGAGGGAGAAAATATTGCCTAGAAATTTCTAAAGCTTGAGAAAAGCTACAAATTTATGTTTACCCGTTCCATTCCTCTAAAATATTGGGAAGTTTTCAAATAGCTTTAAACTACGATTTTCGGAGGAATTATTCATATTTTAATACCAAGATATTGCGATTATTGTTAAAAAAAGGTCTCCTAAAACGTTCGGAATAACGACAAAATGTCCCCTATAATTTTGTAATGAAAGCAAGGCTGCTTCTTGTCTTCGGACTGTCGACCAGACCCATAAGGATAGCTAACATTTTCGGATGAGACGAAAAAGCCACCTAAAACTTTCGTTTCGTCCAAGGTTCCCCTAGTAAAACATCCGAACAGATAAATAGTTTTTAGGGCAGCTCCAAAATTAACCAAACAGGCTTCTAAAGGATGGTGAAAACCATCTGAGACACTTCTGGCGTATTTGGAAACATTCGGCCGTTGGGTGCCCCTGTTTACAATTGTCTCTTTAATCAAACACCAGCAGCAAGATTTATGAGTTCTTACGATAAGGCGCATCATATCAGTTGTTCCTTTACAATCGCCTGTTGTTTTCAACCCTTTTAACCTCAGAGTAAATGGTGATATGAGTCTTTGTAAGGTGGCTGTAAATTCTGAGTCTGTGGACGAAATCCCATGTTAGCTTCCCAACGAAACCTCTTCGTCGTCAATTTTATGTCATGGTACACTTTGTTTTTAAGCCTCTTGGTATTTTGGGCGGATTTTAACGTCTCCCACTCCTGGGAGTGAAAGAAACAATAGTTGAGATCTATGCATGGTGCCGAATAACTTAAAAGTTAGGAATGTTTCGTAAATTCGGGGCCAACAACGTTAAGTCAGAAAAAAAGTAAAAACTGCCATCGAGTAGTATACAGTACATTAATATGAACAACACTTCATTAACAGACGTATCAAGTAGCACAAGCCAGGCTCTTAGATCGTAGGGACGTCGCGAAGACAAGGTCAAGGGAAAGTAGGACGCCCGTGATGTAACGTTTTGATATAATTTTTTCATCGGTCGTTTCGCCTACGAATCGTTTCACTACCGTGATAATAATAATAATAATAACAATAATAATAATAATAATAATAATAATAATAATAATAATAATAATAATAATAATAATAATAATGATGAACTTTATTAAAGTCTCACGTCTTATAGCTCAGGCACAGTGCCTTACTAATTGGGGAGACTGTTCGCTAACGTCTTACGTCCCTCTGCTTGTGCCTCACTTGTATATACCTCGTTCTCTCAGCCACGATAAGAGGAAGTGCGATACGCATGTATTTACCTCGTTCATTCAGCCATGGATCAGACGAAAGCAGTTTGAGAACTGACCCAACACATACGCGAAACGACTTTTAAGTCGTTAGCGAACAGGGCGTTGGCAACGTAAACGACCGTACAGTTATCACAATCTCTGGAAATTACTTTTCTTGGAGCCTGCAACGGGCTAACCAACTAGGAGCTAAGCAAAAAGTCTTTTCTTTAGAAAAAAAAATTAAATGTTGAATTAATTACTATAAGAGTTTTGTATGACCCTTATACTCTGAAGAGTTATTCCTTTTGGACCATTGTCAATGTGATGTCTTCTCTTCGAGCATTTAATAAGAAACGAACCACAAAATTCTCTCAGGCCACGCCGGTAGTTTTCGACAAAGACGAAACAGATTATTGGATTCGCGGTGCTTGAAAGGTTGGTCATCAGGAGAGGTAATGGCCTTAGTACTCGGAGTAACAAACATGATCTTCCCAATACTCTTTCTGACAATAAGACAATAATAATGACAGGGATAAAACATAAATAAAAGGCTGCCACGACGCAAATGGACATTTTCACGGCTTGCCGTTTTCTCTGCACGTTTCCATTCACAGGTGCAATGGGAAGCGCTTTATTTTTCCTTCGTAGAGTTACCGCTATAGTACAGTATAAAATTGTTACGGATATCAACGAAGCAAAGGAACAGGCGGCTCCAGCATATTGAGAAACGGTAGTTGTTTTCTCTGTGCAGTCAAGTGCACCATTTTTGTGAACGAGTTTAAAATCAATAGAAGAAACAGAGCCGCACAAAAGGGCAACGATCCACGTGGAAGCAATGGCCAAAACGCGAAATCTGGAGGAAATCAGATGGACTTTCATTGGAAAGACTACTGCTATAAACCGGTCTAATGCAATCCAAGTTAGGCTTTGTACAGAAACATAGAAAGAGGCATAAATAACAAAACTCTGGATCTTGCAGACGATTGATCCGGCCGGTTCAGCGATCGGCCATTGACCATACGCTGCTTTTGCCAACTCAACTGGAATGAATGTTAACTGAAAGACAAAGTCAGAAAATGCCATGTTGGCGATAAGCTGATTTATAGTCTTTCTGAAGTCTTTGCGCTTGTACACCAAGGTGATTATAAAGGCGTTTCCAGTCAAACCAACCAACAAGACCATACAGTACACAACTATCAAACTTATTTTGAACACATACGGCTCATATAATGCTCCACAATCCAAATCCTTTTCGCTTGATGAGACGTTACTCAAGTTGCTGGTCGACATAATATAAGAAAAAAAGAAACACCTATTTAACGCACGTCTCAAGCGGAAAGGAGATTGAACTGACCCGAGAAGCTGCCGCAAACTAAATTGACAGTGGAAGCAATTAAAACATCGAGACTGATGATTTCAAATGAATCCAAACAACCGACTAAATACTTGAATTACTTGTCGCGACGGTAATGGATTTTCTTAACTTTTCCTTTTTGATTTCGAACGTTAATCAATTTTTATTAATCTCGAATTGTGTTGTCTCACTAGGCTCAGAGTCAAAGGGATCTGGAAAACAAATAATTATTCCACCTGTTTTAACAGAAGTTTCAATAGAGATCTTTTCAAGATTTTTGAGATAATCGAACTATTAAATATGGGAACCATAAATAATAAAAACTATATTTGCGTTAGACACCATGTTAAAAATATATGTAATTTAGAAATAGACCAGGCAATGGAATTAAATATAAAACTTTACTATTTCATTTTCTTTGCCTTTCAACATTAAAATATTTATAATTTAGAATTACACAAAGGAGTTTAATATTAACTGTTATATCTAATTTACTGTGCCTTTCAATCGACTCACAGTTTGTGCCTTATGAAAACCTTATGTTTACCACCAATGAAGTATACATATTTGAAAAGAACTCTTTAAATAATAATAAAAAGAATTGCATGTTTAATTTCAATATTTCATTTTTATAGTGTTTAATAAACTTGCAGTTTGAAATGTAGGCTCGATTAGGATCAAAGACCGGACCTGGGTGACGACGGAAATCGAGCCTGTCTGAAAAGCGGTTCGTGTTTCAAACATTCATAAATTCAAAGACCTGACAAATACTCCTGCTTGTGATTAAAAATTAAGTACATCATGCGTAGCCTGTTGTATGCTGTACTGTCACACTGGATCGTATACTTCACCCCGTGGAAAAAAACAAAAACAAAATGTAAATTGAAAAATTAATGGCACGGAAATCATTAAAACCAGTTCGCAAAACAAAGGCGAGAAAGTCTAGCTAGCCTATTACAGAAACTAAACTAAATTTTATCTATTTTGTCATCGTCATTTTTGCAAACGAGTGCAATTTTACATAGTAACAATGATTTCATTTCAATAGGGTCGCTGGGCAGGCAGGGCGTAACGTTTTACGGGAAAAATATCGTTGTATAGAAGTGTGAGCATCTGACTTTTAAAATTAAACACCAGAGGCCGGATTTAAGAGTTGCAACGATAAGACGCATCTTATTTATTGTTCCGTTACAATCGCTTGTTGTTTTCAACCCTTTTAGTCTCAGAGTGATTGATGGAATCTTTGTAAGGTGCCTCTAACTTTGAGTCTGTGGACGAAATCCTATAGTTAGCTATCCAATGAGACCCCTTTTTGGCCGTTAATTTTGTGTCATGGTACAATTTGTTTTTCAGCATCTTTGATATTTTAGTCGGATTTTGACTTTTCCCACTCCTGAGAGTGAAAGAAACAATAGTTGAGATCTATGGTGCCGAATTCACGAAACAATCCTAACTTAAAAGTTAGGAATGCTTCGTAAATTCGATGCCATAGCATCTAAATAATCTTAACAAGGTTAAGTCAGATAACTGCCATCAAGTACAATATAGTACATTTATAGGAACAATACTTTATTAATACTTTATCAATAGACGTATCAAATAGCCTAAGCCAGGCTCTCAGATCGTAGTGACGTCGCTAAGGCAAGGTCAAGGGAAAATAGGGCGCCAGTGATTTGGCTTTTTTCATGTCAGTTTTGCTGACCGGTCGTTTCGCCAAAGTCTTATGTCGCTTCACTTAAGAGGCGAAGCGAGCGGTGCGCATGTATATAGCTCGTTCTCTTAGGAGTGATAAGAAAAAGTGCGATACGCACGTATATGCTTCGTCCTTTCGGCTGCTGATCTGGCGAAAGCAGATAGCAAACTCATCTAATACGTAAGCGAAACGACACTTAAGTCATTAGGGAACATGGCGTTGGCAACGTACACGACCGTACAGTTTTTGACGATCTCTGCACATTACTTTCTTGGAGCCTTTATACAACAAGCTAATCAATACTGAGGAGCTTCGGAAAAGGCTTTTTATTTAGAAAATAAAATAAATGTGAAATTAATTACTATCAGAGTTTTTTAGGACCCTTATACTCTGAAGACTGTTATTCCTTTTGGACCACAGTCTATGGTTTGCCTTCTCTTCGAGCATTTAATAAGAAACAAGCCATAATATTCTCTCAGGCCACGCCGGTAGTTTTCGACAAAGATGAAACAGATTATTGGATTTGATGAGCTTGATAGGTTGATCGTCAAGCCGGTAAATGGCCACAGTACTCTGAGTAACAAACATGATCTTTCCAGTACTTTTCCTGACAACAAGGCAATAATAATGACAGGGATTAAACATAGATAAAGACTGCCACGACGCAAATAGACATTTTCATGGCTTGCCGTTTTCTCTGCACGTTTCCATTCACAGGTGCAGTGGGGAGCGCTACAGCATATTGAGAAATTGTAGTTGTTTCCTCTGTGCAGTCAAGTGCACCATTTTTGTACACGACTTTAGAATCAATAGAAAATGCGGACCCGCACAACACGGCAACGATCCATGATGAAGCAATGGCCAAAACGGGAAATCTGGAGGAAACGAGATAGACTTTCATTGGAAAGACTACCGCTATAAACCAGACCAATGCAATCCAAGTTAGGCTTTGTACAGAAACATAGACAGAGGTAGAAATAACAAAACTCTGGATCTTGCGGACGATTGATCCGACCGGTTCAGCGATCGGCCATTGACCATACGCTGCTTTTGCCAACTCAACTGGAATAAATGTGAAGTGAAAGACAAAGTCAGAAAATGCCATGTTGGCGATAAGCTGATTTATAGTCTTTCTTAAGTCTTTCCGCTTGTACACCAAGGTGATT